GAAACGTGCGTGAGGGTCGGGCTCTGAATGAACACCCCCGAACCAGTTAACTACTGCTTTGCCACGCATGACTCACAATTCTCGCAGTTTCAAAAAGTCATACAGTATCTCGGCTCCATTTTGATCTGCGATCTTGTTGTGTGTTTATTACCGAGGGATTCTCTGTGATCTCCTCTCTCTCACTGTGTCTCCTGTCCTGTTGTGTGTGTTTAAATCATCTCATCACCTGTGTGAGCCCCCCACAAGGTGATTCAGCGCTTGTGCCACAAAATCACTCATACTCACGAGTGGTTGATCAATCGAAACGATGTCACGACCATTTAACCCGTATCCAGCGGGTGTGTGTGCACGCTGCCCTGCAGACGTAGTGATCTGTTTCTTTCACTGGTCGACATACTAGCTGCACATATCCAACAATGCAAATTGTACTCAAAATAAGGTGACAGACCTGAATGATCTGGCTTCAGGAGCCTTGGGGGGTAAAACCTGGACTGGATTAGATTACTGCGCAATGGGATTGACAGTCTTGCATCTCTGAGACTGGCTCTAGATGCTGTGCAATGGGAGTAAGATGGCAAAACATGAATTATAAACGGAAAAAAACGCTGCTGTAGCCTGATTGCAACTGGAGCGACGTATGACCTTTCCCACAATGCACTGCGTAATGCCCTTCCTGCTTTGTTTGTCCCATCACACACCGCAGGGCACTTGTGGTAAATGTCCATTAGCGTTGACCCGTCCCCGGAGACGATCACTAAGGCAACGAGAAAGGTGACGAGAAGAAAGCCAACTGACTTGACATTTCACCGCACTCACGCTAGATTGGGACCACGAAATGAAGAAAACAGTTCTTGTGATTGCTACAAAATAACAGATACCGGTTTCAGAAGGGTTGCATTGTGGTTAATGTAGTTTTAGTAAACATCAACATACTGATTTGTGGGCTTTACAGTTCTCCTGCGCTGAAATAGACTAAAGAGCTGTCACACAGTGCATTCAGTGCTGGCCAAGTACAAGAAAAACCTGAAGACCAGAGAACCCCTCGGTAATAAACACACAACA